CACCAAGATTCACTACTCAGATGGAGGAGTTGGAGAAAATTGGGAGTGAAGCTAAGCCCAGGAAGAAGGGAGGGGTGGGGGGAAGGTGGTTTTAAGATTTGGTTTTATTTTCTCATTATCCTACTCTGATTTGATTGGTAATACATTAAACTAATTTCCCCAAGTCAAGTCTGTTTGCCTGTGATGGTAACTGCTGAACAGTCTTGTCCTTAACTCATGAGCCTTTTGTTCTATTTTCTCTCCCTTGTCCAGCTGAGGAGGGGGAGTGATAGAATGGCTTTGGTGGGTACTTGGCATCCAGTCAGGGCACCACAAGCACTCTATTTTTTTTTTAATTACATAAACATCTTATTGACCTAAACTGCTAAATTTTCCATACTAAAAGGAGTACTGAAAAGAAGGATGAAGAGTAACAGTCTTGGCAGGTGAGGGACCACACACCTGAATAGCAGGTATATCACTTAATCTAAGAAAACATAGTTTTTTGCCTCAGTCTTTACTGGAAAGTGCTCCAGCCACACTGCCCAAGACACAGAAGGCAAAGGCAGGGACTGGGGAATGAAGAACCGTCCACTGTAGAAGAAGATCATGTTCAAGGCCATCTATGGAACCTGAAGGTGCATAAATCCATGGGACCTGATGAGATGCATCCGCAGGTCCTGTGGGAACTGGCAGATGAAGTGGCTAAGACACTATCCATCATATTTGAGAAGTTGTAGCAGTCTGGTGAAGTTCCCACAGACTGGATAAGGGGAAACATTACCCCCATTTTTAAAAAGGGAAATAAAGAGGACCCAGGGAACTACAGGCCAGCCAGTCTCTCCTCTGTGCCCTGCAAGATCATGGAGTGGATCCTCCTGGAAACTACGCTAAGGCACATGAAAAATAAGGAGGTGATTGGTGACATTCAACATGGCTTCACTAAGGGCAAATTATGTCTGACAAATTTGGTGGCCTTCTACAATGGTGTTACAGCATTGGTGGATAAAGAGCAACTGATGTCATCTACCTGGACTTGTGCAAAGCATTTACCACTGTCCTGCACAATGTCCTTGTCTCCAAGTTGGAGAGACATGGATATGATGGAGGGACTACTCAGTGGGTAAGGAGTTGGCTGGATGGTTGCACTCAGAGACTTACAGTCAACAGCCTGATGTCCAAGTGGAGAGAAGTGATGAGTGGCATTCCTCAGGGGTCATTATTGGGACTGGCTGTGTTTAACATCTTTGGGATTCAGTGCACCTTCAGCAAGTTTGCTGATGACACCAAGCTGTGTTGTGTGGTTAACATGCTGGAGGGAAGGGATGCCATCCACAGTGACCTTGACAGGCTTGAGAGGTGGGCCTGTGCAAACCTCATGAAGTTCAACATGGCCAAGTGCAATGTCCTGCACATGAGTCAAGGCAATCCCAAGCACAAGTACAAGCTGGGCAGTGAATGGATTGAGAGCAGCCCTATGGAGAAAGACCTGGGGGTATTAGTGGATGGAAAACAATTCGAGCCAGCAATGTGTGCTTGCAGCCCAGAAAGCCAGTCATATCCTGGGCTGCATCAAGAGAAGTGTGGCCAAACGGTTGAGGGGGGTGATTCTTCCCCTCTACTCTGCTCTCGTGAGACCCAACCTGGAGTGCTGTGTTCAGGCCCCCAACATGACATGGACCTGCTCGAGCAAACCACAGGAGGGCCGTAAACATGATCAGGGGGCTGGAGCATCTGCCTTATGACAACAGGTTCAATGAGTTCAGGTTGTTCAGTCTGGAAAAGAGAAGTCTCCAAGGAGACCCTATAGCAGCCTTCCAGTACTTAAAGGAGGCCTACAGGAAAGGCGGGGAGGGAATTTTTATCAGGGCATGTAGTGATAGGACAAGGGGTAACAGCTTTAAGCTGAAAGAGTATACATTTAGATTAGGTATTAAGTAGAAATTATTTGCAGTGAGGGTGCTGAGGCACTGGAGCAGGTTGCTCAGAGATGTGGCTGCCCCCTCCCTGGCAGTGCTCAAGGCCAGGTTGGACGGGGCTTTGAGCAACCCGGGCTAGTGGAAGGTGTCCCTGCGCATGGCAGGGGGGTTGGAACTAGATGATCTTGAAGGTCCCTTCCAACCCAAACCATTCTGTAATGATTCTATTAATTTAGAAGATTAAAATTTTAAGTGGAACAAGACATTTAAAAACCAAAGTGCTTTCTCATGGTCCTGTTAACAAACCCCTTCTAATATTAAAAAAAAAAAAACAAAAACAAAAAACAACCCAAACCAAAACACAAACCTAAATAATTGAGACCCTTGATTTGGGAACGTGCAGGAATGAATGAGGTGAGAAGGATTGAGAAAAGTAGTCTGGATATCTAGGACACTTATACTGTGGTAATCAAGCTATTTATACTTCCCAGATCTCAAAAAACTCATTAAAACAAAAGACAGCACAGCTATTCAAGGGGCAACTTCTTAGTGCCCCCAGTTTGGCTATCAGAAAGAAATAAATTCTATAGGCATAGTAATCCTTTAGAAACAAAACTGTCTATGGTCTTCAAGCATCAACTGGACTTTTTGTTTCTTTGTTTGTTTTGGCAAAATGATATAAACATTAACTTCTTACAAAAATACATATATTGTAATGGCTGAATGCAGCCTTTGTGGCTGTTGTAGATATATTTCATAGGTAAGAAGGGTATAAACAAGTATCAGATACAATTCAACATCTGCATTTTGGAAAGGTACAATTAGAGAGAGAATAGTCTGAAAAACAAGTGGAAAGAAGGGAAGGACTCAGTAAGTATACTTCTTCCTTTACTCCACTCCACAAAAGAATTTAAATTTACCCCTGTTTTTCAAGTTTAGCCCCCTTTCCCCATTATCTCCTTTCTTTGCCTGAAGAAATCTTTTATTCCTTTATTTGACTACTTCCTTTCTAACTTAAACTATTATTTTTCTCAGTATCTACATTCTATTAAATTAAATATAAGAAAAATAATGCACATACACCAAAACCATGGAAATCCAACATTTAAGTTATATCTCACCAAGCAGACGCAGGCTTGAAAATCTTTTGAATATGTTTTTCAGTTAGGATCACATCCTCTATTACACATTTGTACAATCATATAGCATAATTAATTACAAATCTCTTTTTAGAATATAATCTAATTATAGGAAAAGATCATTGATTTATTCAAGAACAACTTTCTTCTCCTTACTTAGAGTTCAACTAACTCCAGAAATGTTCTGTACATTTTAAATTGAACTTTATGAATGTTCTCACTCACTGAAAAGACCACACACTTGGGAAGAATTAGTCTTTATCTTGATTTATAAAACTTACATTACATTAGCTCTCCATTTTTAAACAGACCTAGTTACAGCTTTATCACTTATTACAGACTCATCTCATTCATGAATTTAACATGTATTTTATTCATATGTATGGACACATACACACATAATCTTCCTTAAATTTGAATAGAGCATTTTTGCCTACTGTGACAGTAAATAAAAACGTACAGGTTGGTTTTTTTGTTGTTTTTTTTTTTTTTCTAAAATTATTTCAAACTAGCATTGTTTTTTCTATTTTCCTTACTTCACAATACTTCAATGCAAAGTAAATACTGGAAAACAGACTGTAAAAAAGTAAGTATCCCACATGAGCCAATACCCAACCAGCTTTTCTGTCTTTACTATGGAATGAAATAATTTGTATCACTCTACTGCTTGGAAGTAAAACTCATTATTCTTAAGACTGGTATTGCTTCTAACATTTTACTAAAATACTCTTATGAAATACATTAACTTTTCACACTATAGAAACAAATAAAAACCAGCAGCCATTTTAACTACATATATTTGGGTGACCTAAGCGAGAAAAAAACACAACTGACAAAATTTCACCGAATGGATTAATTTTTTTAATTAGATTGAGACAAGTGATCTTTCATGAGAAATTATACCATTGTATCACTTTCAGTTATTTTTTTCAAAATTGTAAGCAATTTAATTATTTTTCAGTTAACTAATTTATTACTGAACTATCTAATTCAACAGGAAATATCGAAAATTATAGCAGAGTTTTCTAAGCAGGAAAATAATCCATGTACTGTGAATGAAGCACCTATTTTATAAATTTCTTCAAACACCAAAGTCAGTTTATGCTGCCCCTAAACGCTGTCTACTAGCAGGTTTTGGTTAAATACCATCCTACAGGGAAACACCATACCAGTTCTTCAGCATCACCTTTTCAGTTTTGTAACTTCAAAAGGTTTAGGCTACACACTTTGTTCTGACAAGTTTAGACACTTTCTGTTGCCACTAGAATAGGAGACTGCCCTGACAAGCAGGTGGCAAGAAGTCTTTGCAAAAATAACTGCAGCTGAACTTTGAACGTGTCAGTGTGGGTACTGACAGACTCCTAAGCAGTCCTTTGCAGGCTACACCTGGAAGCATTCATCTAACTTCTGCGCAGGTTTTTCAACCTAGGCATTACTTCCCTAATATCAGAGCAAAGACTTCATGTGTCCTTGTTTAAAGCTCTCTTAGTGTGTACCCAGTCACTGTTGAAACTGTAATATGGCCACATACCTCTACGACTTTCTGACCATGTATTAACATGGAAGGAGCTATCTGCACTTAAATTTTTAATGTTATTAAATAGGAATATAACACAGACTTTGAGAAAGCAAACAACATTGCATTGTCAAGTAAAAGCACATTGGTGTCTTTCAGAACTTGCAAGAACCATCACAAAACTATCCTTAATAGACTCTACAGTGATTTGGATTCATTATTTAATCCAATCAATTTTATGTCAGTTCCATCTGGAATCTCATCAGATTAATACAATTTACACCTCTCTACAGTAAACTGATTTGTTAAAAACAGTATTAATTTCAAAGAAACAAGGGTAAAATGTGAGTCACAGCATTTTCAAATGAAAACAAAAGAAACATTCACACAACAAAATGGAAATATTCTTAGTTTAATTTAGTTTTTATCTTGCTTAAAGTAGCTTACCAAACTGTTGTTTCCACCTGACTGTCATGCAGCTGTCGATTGTCTAACTGGGCAAAGAGAGGAAAAAGAACTTGAATCCCTCCAATTGAATGAATTGCGCTGTGAATGGAGTGGGTTACTATAGCTTTCACATCCTAAATTAATTAAAAAAAAAAAAGAAAAAAGAAAAAGAAAAATGTCAGTTAACCTCAATTTTAAAGGACAATCACAAATATAACTTTGGAACACTTTAACACTGAATTTAGTGCAAACTAAATCAGACTTGTTTTGACTTAGTTTCATTAGTTATGTTTCAATTATATACTGAAAGGCAAACTGTGCCTCATGGTATGATGAATATACTTCTTAATGAAGAAGTAATCGTCTTTTGTTCTATAAAGTGAGCAAAGAACAAACAGTTCAAGTCATAGGTATATTAAAAGCTGAAATAATATAAAATAATGTCTTTGTACACTAGCACACAAATCTTATTATTATCCAAATGATGTTGAGCTAACAGTAATCACAGAACATCAAATTAGTAGTACAAACCTGAAGCATAAGAGCATGGGGGGAGTGTACAAAAATTGAAGGGTTTTCCTTTGGTGAGGATTCAAGGCATAGCTGAGCATCAGTAGCCTTTGCATTATAAGTAAAAGCAATGCTACTTGCAAGTTTCCCATCATATAGCACTTGTTTATGGTGCTCAGCCAGATGAATGTCACTCTCAGATTTAAATTTGAATGTGCTCTGAAAAAAAAAAAACAACAAAACCCAACAAGTTTTACCAAGTAAATATTTTAAACAAAATACTTGCCCCAAAATGTGCAGAAAATACATTGGACTTGAGAGGGAATAGAGAAACTGTTAAACTTTAATTTTCCAGTAGTTTAATGCTACTGAAGTATGAGACTTTATTTTTATTTACTCCACATCAACAAGTCAATATAACATTTGGTATTTTATGTAGCATAATTTCTCTCTCCTTTCAGCATCAGTGTTAGTAAGTTTCAGAAGTAATTGCTTGGAAGAAATGTGTCATATCAAACAGCTATAAATATGTTTAAAAATTGAGTATGCAATGCATTAAAAATAAAGCACCAATGAAATATACTTTGAATTTTACTTTATATAAACTCACTTAAATTAGAATATGAAATTGTATACCATTTTGATTAAAGGAATAGTTACTTTTAAACAGCATTAAAACTCATGCTTCATTAGCAGTCAGAAGAATATATAAACAAGCTACTTACACTAAAAAAAAGTGCAAATAAAACTATAAATGCCATATTTCAAATTGATGATTCTCAAAGCTTCTACAAAGACAGACTGAACATTTCTATTATTCTTAAACATACCATGATTCATATCTGATCTAAAACTAGGTTCCTGGCAACACTGACAAATCAATCAAGCACAAGAAGATAGATTTCTGCCGTTCTGCAAAGCATTGTCAGATTTACTTGTTACATAACTATTGCATGTAACAATCATTTGACAGTGGTAAAAAGACAACTAGTAGTAACACCGTGCTATACTGATATAAGTAAAGCAAACTTCTTAGAAATGACCACCATATAATTATTTTTTTATATATATATAAAATGTTATCTTTTAAAATCTTTATTCAGTTTTAAATAATTTATTGCTGAGGTTAATGATGAATAATTTTTCTTGTTTTCACTGCATATAGCCATAATTCTCTTTATCCCTTTGGTTCCACCAAATTTTTCCCTCTTCCCCCCCCGGTAAGAAATCCAACATCATTAAAGTATTGAAAGTACTATCACTAGGGTTTTGGTTATCCAGGTTAAGCAACTTTGACATCTGGTACAAGCAGTGTGAGAGCATAAATACAGCAAAAAAGAGCTTTAGATTTAATGTATTCTTAGATGGTATAAATATGTATGGGATCCATAAAGAAGATTTAAAGAATACTTGTTCCTACAGGAATAGCAGAGGGAACAGAGAGTTGAGAATTACTCCTGTACTGCCTTCTCCAGTAAAAGCAGCTGTGCTTTATCAGAATCACTACTTAAACATCAGCAGCTCTCCCCTTTCCTTTAGCAGCAAGAGTTCTGCCTTTTGATTTATCATTCACCCCATCTTGCTACTGTGATTCAGTGATTGTAAGTAAAATATTATTTTGTACTATATAAGTGGCTCAAGCAAATTTGAATTTTCAAGAGTATTTTGTGTTTGTATGTGTGTGCATGAACGCATTGTGCATTTTTACTCCAACTATGTACATGACAAGAAGATTGTTACTGCAGCACTGATCAAGAGCAAACTCAGATTCAGCAACATATGGAATAATCTGATAACCCTCCCATACACATTTCAAAACAAGTTAAGAGGAGTGACACAGACTTGACAGGGCTATTAGGACAGGGCTTTGTTGAAACATCCCTTTAAAAACGGCACCAAACACTGCTATCAGATGCATCTCTTCCTCCTACATTATCTTCCTTGCCCCACTATTCCGTGCTTATCAGCCCCTCAGGATCTCAGCTGAGACATGCTTCTCTCTTCTTTGTTGCCTGGGAATCAAGATGGGTAGCAGAAAAAGCACAGTGAGAGCAAAGATGATGCTCTCATTTCCTTTCTCTTTCTGCAGCCTCCAGCAGCTGAAAGCGTCAACATAGTAGGTAAAAGTTCAGCAACTGCAAGACTCAAAATGAACATGCTTCATTACAGATAAAACCTGGGAGTGCAAATATTAAATTCTACTATGTTTCTACTAAATATAATTTAAAATTTCAAGACACTTGATGGATTAATCCAGGAAGACTTAACAGGGAACAGGCAAATCGCATAGTTCTACTGCCAGCATGTTTTCCTCTCTTTCCCTCTTAAGAGTTTGATCACGTGTAATTTCTATGCAATAGTTACTAAGTGTGGCAACTTTCCAATATTGCTACTCACACAGTCAATGTAACATTTTTTTGTTTAAAAAAAAAAAAGAATAGGCCTTTTGCTACAACTGAAAAATTTACTATTTCACCGTAAAATATCTATTTGCTTAATAAATAAATTTTTATGCTAAGGCATGCTGGTTACAACTAGATGCATTCAGAACGACATGTTGAGCAAGACCGACATGGAAATATTATGAACTGTTTCTATGTTACAACATTCTGCAATAAGCAGGTAATGTGCAATAAAATATTCTATATATAAATTAATATAAATATTTAAATCATTAAACAATATTATTTTAATTAATTCTCTAGTTAATCTTAAAATCCGTTGCTTCTACCTGTGTCACAGGATGGGGGTGGGACAAGGTGCAACTGATTCACTTTTCTGTGTAGATCAAGATCTACCTTTCCTGAATTCTGGCTTTGGTGTTATTTGCAACATTACATGCTACATATATTCACAGATGTGTGTCTACTGCACTGTCCTGAGCTCTGGTATGTTGGTAGACTATGCAGATTTCTCTGTATTTCGGAAGTCTGAATGGCAGCAGTTGTAGGCTAGAGGCATTATGAATGATTGTGAGGGTAGCTCAGTGACAGGTAAAATCATAGTCTCTTGTCATGAACAAAGCAGGCAGAGCACCAAATAAAGGAAGAAGAATCAGAATCCTGGGATATAGTGGACTAAAGTAAGAATTATAAATAAAAGGAACTACCACAGGAAAGAAAAAACACCTGTATTAAGACATTTTCCAAAAATTCTCAATTATTTTGAATAATACTCCATTGGGAGAAAACCTTTGGCACAACAGGAGTTCACAATGCATCTAGAATAGTTGCTCTTTTGGAAAACTTGAACAATTGATTCTCCCAGGTGGCTAACAGTACCAAATTTAGAATGAACAGGACATGTAGTGAACTACTTAAGAAAAGCTTCTGAAAGGCAATTTTGCATCAGCAAGTTATGTAAGGGCAAGAACGTGATCTCTAATGTCCAGCAATTTGAGCTACATGTCAATTGAAGCTCCCTTGGACCATGAAATACCATACTGAAATGTTCTGAAATGATGGACCTTTGCACCCGCACAGAATTGGAAAGAACTGACAGAAATAAACTTAACTGAGATATGATAGAGGCAAGCTGTGAGTGCAAGCCACAATCAGTGACCTTCATTTTTTCAGTCATGGGTAGATCTTGGGTTGGAAGAAGGTGAGAAAAAAGGGTTCTGTTTTGTCTTGTTTTTTTGAAATAAGGAAGTTAAAGAAAGAAATTGTGTTATTCCTAGGGTCCTGCTCTAGGAACTCGCTCCTTTTAGCTGCTATTAGTAAAATATACTTTCAGATTCTTGGACAAGGAAGGAAATTACTTTACAGAGGAAGGAGGCATTAACTGTGCTGGGAACACAACCTAAACCTAAAAACACGATATGCCAAAGAAGAATATCCCTAAAGTATTAAATTTAATCTAACAGACATTTTACAAAAAGTAGTAAGAAGATACATGTGTGAAGAAATGTAGTTTAAAGGAAGTCTATGAATCAAGGAAGGTAATTTGACAACACTGTAGTAAGGTTAGTGCAGTAACTACTGGAAACATCATTTAGTGTGAAAGCATGTATGCCTTATGAATCTTTTCAACACAAAATATCACATAATAATTTTCACTTCCTGAAACCAATGAAAGCATTACTCCTCTTTGATATCATTTCAGTATGCTGCTGCAAATCCAGGAACTTAATAAATTCATAAAGATTTATGACATTTATTATTGAGAAGTAAAAGGTTACATTACTTTCTTCTGGATGACCAAAAAAACATTTGCAGAAATATTGGTTCAAACAAAATACAGTATTAAGTTTGGAATAAAGTACCCCTTGTTTGCACAGGTGATACACTTCTCTTGACTGACTAAACATTTTTAGTTTCAAGGCAGGTTTTAACCATCAACTCTATTCAACAGACTTCCTCTTCTCCAAGTAACCTTGACATATATTTGGCTATTCACACTACATATACCATAAAAGATATTTTCAACTGTCACTGTCATTCAAGTGTTAGCTTTCATCAAATAATTTAGAGCAATAATTTTCAGCACAGCAAATTCATATTATTAGAATATAAATGTTGATTTTTACTTGCTAATTTTAAAAGTTTTTATTTTCATTGTATATGATATATACTAAAAAACTGAAAGTCTACTTCAGATGATACTGCTAATTTCACAGACTGGAGAAAAAAAAAAGGGAAAAATTGATGGTAGAAATCCAACAGTTTTTAGCTGGGGTTAGATTCATTTCCACTCCTTTCCCACTAAGAAGTTTCTGCCGACTTCTGCAAAGCATCTGCATTTTTTTTTGCTTGATGAAATAATACTGTACATAACCATTCCAAGACACAAGTGATTGTTCCTACTAGAGATCCAAGTTTATGCATGCACCATTAATTTGTCCAAACTGTCCCCTAAATGTCTCTGTCAAAGCATGACTAAAAAGCTCAACTTTTACTTCAACAGAACTGTTTGAAACTGTGCAGTTGAACAGTATTGGTTTATTATGCCTTGTTGAATGTTAATCTGCCTTGACTCAGGTTTTAAACATGAACAGTAAACAAAGTTATTCCCCTGGTATTCAGTACACTAAATGCAAAATTGTTCTAATCTGATTATGATCCAAAGTCATAAATTTGACATACAAACAAGTTTCAGCTATGCTTTAAAGAAGCAACTTGCACCTTTCCAAAAGCTGGTGGAAACTAAGGTTAGTTAGGATACTTGAAGAAATACTATTCTTCTGCCAAAAACAAATCACATAGCTCTACATAAACCTAAGAGAAATATCTACATGCATACATATCTTCGAATTATAACTATCAATTATTTTCTTCTTCTAGTTTTACAGTTTTTAAGATCCATTATTACCTTATATCCAGGTCCTAACTGATGTATTGCAAAAATCTGTGCGGGGTTGAGTGCTTCAGTGAATACATACACTGCTCCAAGCTGGCCACAGAACACTCTATTAGCATCAGCAGTCTCCGAAGAGCCAAGAAAACATTTATCATAGCTCTGCATTAGAAAGAGGTAATGTTAATCAAGTTTAGTCATACAAACTATACAATGAAATAATATTAATGCACAGCTACTGAAGCCAAAAAATAAAGGGAGACTGTAATTAAGAAAATAAATCAATCACTTGTTACTTCAGTACCTGATTCTCTGTAGTGAACAACTTCCTTTTTAATATCGTAGCATTGTTTCACAGGTCAGTATTATAATGCTGTTATGACTGGCTGCTAGGATTTGGTTCTTATTAATTTTTCAACATACAACAAAGAAAATTAGAACAGTACATTCAAGTACCAAATAACCTTCACTACTGCCTTCTAGGAAATATGAAAGCCTTGAATTCAGTTCCTTGTAATTATAATCAGAACTCCCACTGCTAACACATAAGAACACGCACCAAAATGCACTCTTCTTCCACTGTTGCGCTAACAGAGCTAAATATCTCTAGCAGAAAAAAAAAAAAAAATAAAAAAAAATTAACCAATTTTTCTAGTTTGCAAACTGGTGCACAGTCTTCCTGTAAGATTACAGCCTATAATGATTTGGTTTGACCCTAAACTCCCCTTCTGTCTTCTTCAACATCATAGTTGCTATTTTCCATTTGTTGTTAACAGAGGTGTTACCTTCCATTCTTCCTTCCAACAACTATCCCTCTGCACAAGAACCTTCTGCAGTTCTACATCTGTCCATTCTTATTATTTCAGTTTTGAAGTATTTTTTGTGGCTTTTTTTTTTTTCTAAATTTAAATTTATTTTTCAATAATTTGGTTAAGTTCTTCTGGTGCCTCGGAGAAAAAAAACGCTTTCAGATGAAACAAAGTTTAGAGCTGAACTTTCTAGAATAAAGATCCAGGAAACTGGAAAACAAGATGCAGCACAAGAGAACAACAGAAAGGGCAAGGATCTTTGCAAGGCTGTTCTCTCAGCTTCCCTGAGTCACATGTACTTTATTTAATGGACACGAGGATCACGCATCACTTTTTGACTTGAATCAGCAACCCAGTAGAATCTGCGTTAGGAAGTCTGCTTTTTCATCTTGCTTGGTTGCTGAGTTTTCCCCTAAGAAAAACTTTTTTTCACCGGAGAATGGAGTCAAATACAGTGATTTACTACAGCAACCGATTCAGGTGGATAAGCTATTATATTAACAAGGAAAAGAGGACTCTGTCTAAAGAGTTCAGGACGAAGTCAAAAATCTGGAGTTAAGCTTTGCAACAGGGTGAGAGAAGAAGTATCCAGAATTTTATCTCCGATTTATTCTCCTTTTGAGCAAATACCTCTTCTAGCTTTTTTCTGTTGGAATTTTTTTTTTTTTTTTTTTTTTTTTTACAAAACTAAAAAAACTACAACAAAATTGATTCACAAAGTTATATTCAGGATGTACAGTGCAAAAGATGGGCTATGAGACCACTTTGACTACGGGTAAATCTAATAGTGAAATTTCCTAACAATTTGCTGAGACACACATTCCTGCCTATTACAGGGTATTTTCCTTGATTATTCTAGTTAACATTAATTGTACAACAGCCATTGTAGCTCTCAATGGATTACAAGTTTTACATATAATTACATTCTAGGTCTGTTAGCCTGTAGTAATTTCCAGTTCTGTTTTTTGGTTTTTTTTTTTCATTCTGACCAGATTACACTTTTCCATTTTCTGGTGCTTCACCCTGGATTAGGTGTTTTCTTTAATTTTAACTGGAGGGGAGGGCTAACTCCTAATCTTCTGGTAACTTTTATTCACTTCTATCCCAGATGCCAAACAATTTGTAAACATTATTTATTTAATAAATATTTATATAATCTATACAATTTAGATATATAATTTATGTAATTTCTATAATACACATTTATTTATTTATTTAAAACTGGCACCCAATACTCATAGCTCATTGGTCTTCCTTTAGCTATCTCACATTTCCAGTTTTAAACCTGATGGACATCAACTGATCCAAGTTTGTTTGTCCATTTCTATACATCCCTGGTAGCATGTCATTAATGACCTCAAGATGAGTGGACTGCCAGATCTGCTTCATTCAGTGCCTTGGCCCAAATCCTCCTATTTTGTTGACATAAAAAATTAAATTCTTGGGACTTATGGACCTTGTTACTTAAGGACATAACTTTGTCCTTAATATTCTTGATGCTTATAAGCGTTCTTTCAAATGCAGACCAAGTGTTATTGTTGTCATCAACCTCTTTGCTTTTCATCACTTGTGTCAACTAATTAAATCCTACATCTTTCTTATCCTACAACAGAAATGCAAAGTTCTGTGAAAGATGTCAGGACATATTCTGACATCCCCATATTCTACATCTTGAAGAGAAGTTTTATGCTTTCTCTGATGTTACTTACTACAAATTAGGAATTTTCCCCAGTTAAGAGCTATAATAGCCAAACTCTTCCAATTTAAACTTCTATCTCAAAGTGTATTTGATTTCTTCTAAATAATTAACTCCATAAGGCATCCAGAGCTGATCATGTCTACTGACCAGCTAGCAATTGCACACATATGGTTATGTTATAGCCTGTCATGCATTAAACTTCATCTTTTTATCATAATTTTGAGCTATATTTACTCCTTGGAATATAAACTCAATGAGTTACTTATCACTTCTATTTTTTGGGAAAAAATAAAAATAAATTCACAGTGTCTACCAAGACAAATCTATGCTTAAAAAAATATAAATTCAACTCAGTCCTTTAATCTTAAACTCATTAATGCAAATTTAATGGATGTTTTGTTAATCTTAAAAAAAAAATAAATTAATAATGCATTTTGTTCAATGGTAGCTTTGGCACAGTGAGCAACTGAAAAATCTTGTCTTAATTATATTTAAACACATCATCTTATAATGTTCTTGTATAAGAAAAACTGAAAAAAGTAAGATGTACTTAACAATGTGCAATCCTGTCCCTTTCTCAGATTTCACTATTTTCACAACCTGTACTGTTAAATCTATCAGTATAATCTACATGAATATTTATGCACAATAGATGATGTAAAGGAAGAAGAATGAGTGGGTGACTTGCATAGTTTTTTTTTTCTCTTTTTCCCAAAAAACTGTTATGGTAAGGTATTTTCTTGTCATTTTGCAGGAGACTAAAGTTATATACAAGTGGAAGGGTATGAAGGTCAAATTTAACAAACTGGATAATTGATCAAGACTTTTCAAGGGAATACTTTTAACAATTTAACTTTCATATGAAACATATACAGTTAAAACAAGAGCTTCTCTTCCTAGCCAACATATAATAGTCCTAAGGAGCCTACATATGCACTCCCCTATTTTCCTGTTTTATGCCTTTTACACAGTTGCATTCATACATCTTTCCTGAATTTCTCCTACTTTCTATTCTATTTCCTACTTCTGATAATTTTTTGTTATTACAAAACAGAGAGCCAATGATAACTAGTCTCTTTCATAACTAACTCTATTCTCCAGCAGACAAAGTAAAACCTTTGCAGAGACTGAAAGGACTTACAGTAAACCATCTAAAGCTTGGTAAAACAATTCCACCTTAAGAAAAGACTGTACTTCTGTTACATGAGAAGATAGAAGGGAATACTGTGAAGAACATATGTATAAAAGGAGCAGTTCTTCCTGCTACTCATTTATCATCAAGGATTACAGATGCCCACACCATATAACTAGTAACTCAGCGCAGAACCTTTGAGACCTCAGCTGGCTTTTCAATCACATTCTCACCTATCACAAAATGTTTATATTACCAAGGAGAAACCATGCTCTGCAAAAAAAAGGTTTGCCTTTTCTTGCAAGTAGAAATGTTATGAACAAAACAAAGCATGATGATCAGAAGATTTGGCAAACAGAGCTTTAATTAACATCTAATATTTAAGTTCTGTCTTTCAATCCAACTTAGCCTCTAGAATTTAGCAAAAACCAGTTAATTTCTTTAAGTATAAAAGAGCTTCGTTATCATATACAGGCAGTCAGCAACAACTGAGAATTGTATTATAAAGAAATAACAAAAGCGTAGTAAGCTGATGAATCAAGCACCTCTGAACGTCCTGCACAGCTTCATCTGAAGGCAAAGCACAAGAGAATCATTTTGTCTGCCTTTCCCATCCAAAACTTTGAGCCAGAAAGAATGCCTGTTTTCTGCATCATTAAGTGCAGACTCAAACCTTCCAAAGCAGAAGGTAAAAATAAAGAGCACCAAGTTTCTGAAACTTATATAGACTTCATTAAAACAATTTACATATAAAAACGTATGCGTTTCCTGTAAGAATATGCTGTTCATTTGAACTCAGTCCAATTAATAGATACAGGTGTATTTACAGGTATACATGCAATCTTCTCCAGCTAAGAATGAGTGGTGTCTGCCTGTGGGACAAGCAGATGCAAGATCACTGTGCCTTTGCTCTGAGCTGACCAATGCTTTACAACTGTACGTCTCAGTATCTTTTAACTTGTTTGGATGGTCAATAAGGGAAGACATCTCTCTGTAAAAGTTCACTAAAAAAAATTGCTGAGTATTTCAGGGATGAAATTTTGTAGCAGTTAATTTGTACTCGCTAACAATATTAATTAAATATTAATACCTTAACAAAATATACTTGTTAGTGGGAGACAGATGTAAGACTTCAGACTTTGCTTAATACTATAAATCTCTCAATGTTCCTCCATGCTTCGGTTTTCTAGCTTTTACTTTTTTATCTATCTCATTTGTTTTAAACTGTAAACTCTTCATAGAAGAAATAATCTCTTACTAAACTTATACAGTGCTTAAAACAATATGACACTGATCATAGTTCAGGCTACTCATTTCTACTGCAATTAAAAAACCTACTTAAAATTTAATGTTCAATAACACAAAAAGCATAGAAATTTTTTCACCATTAACAAATCTCTCCACCTGAATCCAACATAGAACTTGATGTGATACAAAAGTGAGTACCTTTGTATGCACTGACAGTATGGATAGTCATTTGGCAGAGTAAATCAGTTTTTCTTAAGCCCTTTTCTCAAGCTAAATGTGTAAAACCTGTAACTCTATCATATTTCCTTACGGAAAAAGCTAAGTATTAATCCACTGTTATCAGTGTTGTCTATACAGTATCACATATTAAAAATATTAGTTATAACAGTCTCTCCAAACAAAATATCTGAAATTTTCATTAAAATAGCTATGCAAAATACTGTTATAAAATCCTCAATATGCTAAAAAATATTATTAATGTAATGTAACATTAATAATTTTTCTATAAGTACATAACTAATGAAGATAGATTAAAGGAGAAAGTTAAAAAAAAAGAAAATTTGCAAAGATCTAGAGAAAACAAATAAAGTATTTTTTTTTTCTTTTTCAATTTACTTTAAAGTGAAAAGCTATGAGAAAGGAAAAAAAAAATAAAATCTTACATCATTTGTGTTAACATGCCAGGCCATGTCACCATAGGATACCAGTTGACCATTCACATAACATCGTATTTCACTGTTTCTCCATCGATTATAGATGTGTACAATGCTTATCATGTACCACTGGAAAGACATGGAAAATCAGTACATAGTGGCACATTTCATGCTATAAAACATGAAGTTAATGAATATCATTAAAAATAAGTGACCAGTCTCATAAAGTTGCACAAACAGATGAATCCTTGCAAACTCATGAAATTAAAAGTCAAGTCAATGGAACTTCAAGTCCGGTCAGCAGAACTGTGCCTAGATGTAATGATACACCTACCTGCATCCCCTTTATGGCATTAGAGCCAAAAATGCTTACATACAATTAAAAAGTTGAATACACGTCCATTCCTGAAAGTGTAATTGAAACACTATATGCTGTAACACAAAACATAACTGAGTTCTGATGGGAAATCCAGTTCCATGTGCACTTACCTTAACAAATTTGTATCACGTATCTCTGCCTTTTCATCATAGCTCTCTGTCAGAAATTATTAAATAAAAGGAAAAAATTCACAACAGCAAATTTTACAGCCCAGTTTACAGTCCTGATTGCTTCATATAATTTTCTTTATCATTCCACCAATTTTTGGACAACTGTAATATCACTAAAAATGCATTTATAATCAAACAGAAAAAGCATCACAGTAAAACGCTTCCAAGTACACTATGGTGATCTTTCAAATAATCTGTTCAACAGGAATCATTATGCACAGGATGAGTAAATTCAAGAAGAAAACCTTAAGCTTCCTTTAAAACCAAAACTTTAAACTCATTTAAGACTAGGAATGGAAATGTAATCTTTAAGATCTACAAATCAACTCTTACTTAACTATAATGGGTGTCTGGGTATTATTTCAAAATATATACAAACCAGATTAAAATGGATATACTGGAGAAAGTCCAGAAAGGGCCACAAAGATGATCAAGTGATTGAAACCTCTGACACATGAGGAGAGGCTGATATGGGTCTGTTTAGCCTGGAGAAGGGAAGGCTCAGGGGGGATCTTATCCATGTGTATAAATACTTGATGGGATAAAGATGGAGCCAGAGACTTCTCACTAGTATCCAGTGACAGAACAAGATACAACAGGCAGAAAATGAAAAAGATGAAATTCCATTTAAACATACTAGGAAGGGTGGTAGTAAGCAGGAAGGACAGTGAAAACACCAGCACAGGTTGCTCAGAGAAACTGTGGAGTCTTCTTGTTTGGAGATATTCAGAATTTGATGGGACAAAATCCAGAACAACCTGGTCTAGGTGTTCCTTCTTTGAACAGGGGGTGAGACTAGACTGTCTCAACATGTCCATTTTCAATCTTACTGATTCTGTGAAAAAGTCAGAGAATCTGCCTTGAAAACACCATTTCATATTTTAATAATTTGGAACAGTAATTTACAATTTACTTGTCTTCCCTTTCTTGGTATTTGTTTCAATATCTATCTTTTGATTTCTATGTTCAGCTAAGTCTCTTTTTTTCAAAGCAGAGAACTACATCCCTAATTTTAATAAGTCACTTGGTGACTCTACCTGAGGTAAGTAGATACAGTGCGTACTAATACAAAAATCTTCCTCTCTGTATCAGAGAAAACAAACATTAAAAAATTTCACATGTTGATTTTTAAATCAGACAGAGCACAGAACTACAAATTAAAAAAGCATGCAGCAAAATATATCTTGAATTAACTAAATTTACATTTTAAACTGTAATTTAGTTTTAGCCAGGGAAATATTGAAGTATTAAAAAACGGTTTACTCTTTGTGTCATATTTGTCACTAGTATCAATCTAGATCAAATGAGTAACACAGGTTTTCAAAGCTAGTTTCTAAAATAGAGGATGACAAACTCCACTGAGTTAAGTCCATAATGCATTCTTATCAACAGGAAAATAAAGGTCTTCCTGACATTCCTGCTTGCTCACTTGATTCAAATCCTGTCATCCCTGTATTTTAACAATATAAATTATCTCATTGCATGATAACATAATTTCTTTCAGGCTTTCAGAGGAGTATAATGCCTAAAGTTCTTGGGGAATCCACACAGAATGTATCAATTGGCTTACAAACCTGCTATGCACAGTTAAGAATCCTTCAAATAATTCGACAGAAGTGGGGCGAGAGACTTCCAGTGCATTATTATATTTCTTTGTGCCTGATGTTTATCTATGCATCTTCTAATTCTTTGTTTCAATTTTTCTAGCTTCTGTCCCATTTTAATGGTTAAGAAATCATGCCTGATAATATGTAATTCTAAATATCAGCAAAGCCTTTTTCTACAATTTGTATAATTTTCCATCACCCTTTTGTTTGAGAAATTAGATTAAATACCACAATTAAAAGTTTGTCAAATTTCATATTCAAATTTCATATTCAAATTTCATTGGAACTTGGGGGTGCCTACTGTATGTTCCTGGCAATTAATAACTCTCTCTTATATTGATTTCTATACCTCTTCTACTGACATTTCAATTTGAGACACTTCCTCTGACTCATCCACATTGACTTGTTTTATAGTAAACAATGACGCAATTAATTCATTTAGCTTCTTTGTTATGATACTATGTTCTTCAAGGGCTCCTATTAACCCTTAGTCATCTAATCACCCCTTTGAACTTGAAAAAACCACCCTAAATTGTAATAATTTTACATATAATTTGCTACAACTTACAGTTTCCTAAGTATTCTTCATTTTGGTTCAACTTCCACTTTCTTAGCAACTTCTTTTTACTTACAAAGGTCTCTACTAATTTCTGTGCTAAGGTACATTGTGGTTTTTTTGAGTAATGGTATATTTCCTGTCACCCTTTTTGTATCTGCATTTAAGGAATATCGCTAGCACTATCAAACACCTGTACTTTAACTTTTTTTTTTTTTTTTTTTTTAAGTGAAGGTAGGTTTTTGCAGTTCCTTTAAATATAAAAATAGAAAATGCTGCATATGCAAGCATATTCTGCATTTTTCAAGATAAAATCAAGCAATAGTCAGTGTGAGCTCTCTAAAAAAAAAAAAAATAAAAAAAAAATCCAAATGCTTCTAGCATTTAAAAGTCTGAACTCTCATCCCAATAACATGCCAGACAGTTTATAGCAAAGTAATGCAAAGTATTAGTATGCTTTCCGATCTTCCCCAGTTCACTGCAGATGCTATAACCATCCTTATCATGTGGTTAACAATGTAATCTAAATAGTATGGTTTTCCTAAGTATTTACTGATTTTCAGTGCACAGAAGCTCTGTTATTTATTGTTATAATGAATTTATTTATTTGATTAGTTTACGTCTTTAATACAGGGCATCACTTATCTATTGGCAAGACTAACATCACTGTCACTCATAACTGTAAGTACAATTTCAAATGAGTGTCTACTGACGGTCAAGTCAACAAAGCTGGGCTAATGATGTCATTTAAAGTAGACATTCCAGTTTCTTGGTTTTTAGATAAGTAGCAGCAATCATACATGTATGTGTCATAATTTCCTATCACCTATGTCTCATTTATGTGAATGTTCTTTGCTGATGTTGTACAGGCATTTTTGTTGATTTCTCTCCTATTCTGTATCTGAGGACATGGTTTTCAGGACTTTACTACTACACAATGAACCAAACCAAGTTGTATAATCTCACACACAATTTTTCTTCAACTTTTAGTTGAAAAATCCCCCCCCACCACCTTTTATTTTTTAATTTTCAAAGTCAGTAATACAATTTTCTTTTAAGTTCATTCTGCAGTCTCCTTCCCTACATCATTTTCTCAAAAATGCACCAAGCCCATGTCTCTCTGCAATAACAAGAGCTTCCTTAGGTAGCACTCAAAGACACTTCAGGTAACAGCCTGTCAATTATTTCTACTACTGAAATCTTTCAAGCTTAAGTACCCACTGCTGAGTAAGGCATATTCCTACTCCATAGCACAGTAAAATCAGAGAAATGAGGCATCACACGCTAAGTATTTCCAAAATGTGGAGCTTAATTCAGTCTATACTGCAATTAGTAAAGGTGTAAAAAGCTTTTTGGGTTTTTTTTGTTCTTTCCTGTTTTTTACAAGGATTGATGCTGAGGCTGGAACTCAAGGGAGTGAAAATTACTGGGGGTTACTAATACACAAAAATTTCACTTTGGAGTCCCCAAAAAGCAGTATAGACATAATAAACACAACACTACCAAAACTAGTTTATCTTGGTTGAGAGGGCAGTCTATTATACTATACCCACATTTTCTATTTGGTGATATGATGGTGAAATTTCTCCGTGTATTTTTATAACTAGCTTGTATTTATAATGTTGTTAAAATACATGAATTAAAACCTACAGTAATGACTTAACATGTCTTAATGTTTTAAACTAAGATTAATCTTATTCTGCGTATGGTGTCATATGACATAGTTAACAGTGGGAAAATTGAACATAGCATCTTTCTGATCTGCCTACATAAAGCTTTTGACCAGCTGGCTTGAATACGTAATTTTACTGTGATTCAACAAAAATTAAAAAAAAAATAAAAAAATAAATTCAAAAGTTTAATGAGGATGACTTTGTTGAAATGTTTATGCCTGTAAGCAAATAGCTAGAAGATAGTATATCTGATGACAAAAATCATACTTCTCATGTTAGTATTTGGAGAGTAAGCTTTGTAAATGGGTACACATTTTTTTTCATATATCTACACATTCAATGCTTACACAGTGGAACCAATGTAATTAGGACCTAAATAACATGAAGAAAATAAATCTACAGGATTAAACAGGATATATTTTGATTTGTTGGAGCCAAGAATTCTATTTCACAGGTTTTCTTTCCTCCATTAAGTGTTATGTACCTTCCCACATACATATATGCACAGAGGTTTTTAATGAAAAAAATAATATCATATGAAACCACTTGCAAATATATTCTAGAAGACTTATTTCAGATACTTTCAAAATCTGACACACAACTCAAAGTGTATGAAGCACAATCTTTGAGAAATATAAAACTGGTGTGGAAGTTACATTTGGACATACTTCAACAGATCAGCAGATTATTATTTGAAACTGATATTCACATAATGAGCTATCCATGTACTAGTATTTTAGAATTAACTATTTTAAGTAGAATAGCAAGAGCTAAAATTTTCCAGGGATGGCATGAAGGAAACTAGTCATTCATAATAAAAATTATCAAAAGAATAACTTGCTAAAAAATGAAAGACTGCTTCTTCATCAACAACTAAAGAGTGATCAGCTAAACCCCAAAAGTTAGTTATCAATAACATTATCCAAAAGTTAACTATTTCATTTGTTCCTAAATTGAGTGTTTATCAGTAGCATCAGATGTGCTACTTTAAACGAAAACTGAACTTTCATCAAAGCTCTTTTCTGGTTATGAAATAAAATAAAATTTGCAAACCAGAATTGATTCATTTCAGTACACTTAGCAGATATATATTTCTAAGGCTTTATACATGCCTGAGTAATATGTTAGAAAAAGACATTACTATGTTTTAAAAAAACCCACAAACGATCTCAAAACTACATGACAGAATTAGAATCAGTGATTCTGAATCACAAATACATAACAGAAAAATAGTAGAACATAAAGCTGGTGAGCAAACAATGGCATTCTCTCCCTAAGAGATTGGTTTCTCAAAACAAGCACTGAAATTCAATACACAAATTCTAATGCCATAAAAAAAGAAATGAGCTTCACAGCAAAATATATACAAGGCTTCTATCAACAACAAACATAATGCTCAACGTACAGAAAAGTCAATGTTTCAGTCAGCTAAGTGAAATATTGAAACTGCAGAATCACTGTTCTCCTAGGACTACTAGGCATACAGTAGAAATGAACACTAATATGATCTAGAGAAATAATCAAGATTTACTATGAAAAATTAGAAGTTCCAAAACATCACTGACATAAAAGAAATTTCAGAGCCTTATATTCTTCAGCAACAGATAAAACTATAGCATAGCCAGCAAAATTGTTCCAGACATTGGCACCAAAGTTACCAAGTACAGAATGTTCAGAAATAGAATGATGACTTTTAAAAATAAATACAACCATTTTAGAAATACCCAAAATTCTTCCCTGAAGCTAATTAAGCAGTATTTTTAAAATTAAGTTGACTTTACAGAAGCGTTACTTTATTAATTATTACATTTTCTTGAATTGATTCTGGTCTGTAACGGATATAAAATTTGCATGATCAGAGAAGCTACTTATAAATAAGAAATTATTAGTAACACTATGGCACTAAAGGAATTTTAGCTTTTCTTCCCAGAAGCACTTTGTTGCATTTTCAATGTTACCCTTTACTGTAAATAAGACTTTGCTTACCTTGCGTGGCTGAAAGTCATACTTCACACAGTGCTGGAAACCTTTGCCTTTTGACTTCAATGATGTAACTATTAAGCAGTTGCCAACAAAATGAGCAGAATACCCAACACCTTTGCTAGTGCGGAAACTGAAAAGAAAGAATTATTAATGACATCTGAAAAAGGGGAACTACTGCTTAATAAAAAAAGTCCAAATATTACTTCAAATTGCTGTGAGAAAAAAACCCAAACAACTTAGTACCTGTAACTTAATTTCCTTTATATCTTCTGTCGCCACTATTTCTCTGGGGAAGTTACTAACTTTCATCACTTACTTGATTTCAGGCTACATTCTAAAAATCAGTACTTTCTTTTTCTTTACAAAAATCCATGATGGTAAATACTGTATCTATCAGGTTTTTCGCTCAATTTACTAAATCATCATCTTTTCAAATAAGATATATGATTGGCTGAATGGCCGGGCCCAAAGAGTTGTGGTGAATGGAGTTAAATCCAGTTGGTGGCCGGACACGAGTGGTGTCCCCCAGGGCTCGGTTTTGGGGCCACTCCTGTTTAACATCTTTATTGATGATCTGGATGAGGGGATCGAGTGCACCCTCAGTCAGTTTGGCAGATGACACCCAGTTGGGTGGGAGTGTTGATCTGCTCGAGGGTAGGGAGGCTCTGCAGAGAGACCTGGACAGGCTGGAGCCATGGGCTGAGGCCAACTGGAGGAGTTTCCATAAGGCCAAATGCCGGGGGCTGCCCTTGGGCCACAACAACCCCCAGCAGCGCTACAGGCTTGGGGAGGAGTGGCTGGAGAGCTGCCAGTCAGAGAGGGACCTGGGGGCGTGATTGACAGCTGGCTGAACAGGAGCCAGCAGTGTGCCCAGGGGGCCAAGAAGGCCAATGGCATCCTGGCTTGTGTCAGCAATAGCGTGGCCAGCAGGGACAGGGAAGGGATCTGACCCCTGTACATGGCACTGGTGAGGCCGCCCCTCGATTCCTGTGTTCAGTTTTGGGCCCCTCACTACAAAAAGGACATTGAATGACTCGAGCGTGTCCAGAGAAGGGCAACGAAGCTGGTGCAGGGTCTGGAGCACAGGTCGTACGGGGAGCGGCTGAGGGAACTGGGGGTGTTTAGTCTGGAGAAGAGGAGGCTGAGGGGAGACCTCATCGCCCTCTACAGCTCCCTGAAAGGAGGGTGCAGAGAGCTGGGGATGAGTCTCTTTAACCAAGTAATAAGGGATAGGACAAGACGGAATGGCCTCAAGTTGCACCAGGAAAGGTTTAGACCGGATATTAGGAAGCATTTCTTTCCAGAAGGGGTTGTTGGGCGTTGGAATGGGCTGCCCAGGGAGGTGGTGGAGTCCCCATCCCTGGAGGGGTTTAGGAGTCGGGTCGACATAGCGCTGAGGGATCTGGTGTAGTTGGGAACTGTCAGTTTTAGGTTAATGGTTGGATGGGTTGATTTTCAAGGTCTTTTCCAACCTTGATGATCCTGTGATTCTGTGATTTAAGTTGTAAAGACAATACATTACAGAACAGATGTGAAATGCCTTGCAATTTTATGGGGTTTGTAGAACAATGCAGCCAGTATAACATAGAAATTTGGATTTAAGGTAATTAATACGCACAATAATGATTTCTTTTTCAAGACTTATCATTTAGTTAAACTAATGATTTATGAAATTTTAGTCTCTGAGTTGTGGATTTATTTTCATTTGTCAAATTGATAAAGGAGTACAGTTTTAATAAAATAAGTTTTATAAGTGTTTCCAGCTTTCTTGTGACAAATATCATAAAGAGAGATAATACAGAAAGCTCACACATTTCTCTACTTATATTTGAAATCTAAACCACTGTGAAGAGAAATTCTGGACTTCTTAAAGAACATTTTGCAAGGCATCTTGTGGAAATTCATGAATAACATTACACACAACATTTTTAAAAATGCAAGTCTATATCTACAGCTATGTCAGTTCCTTCTGAAAAGCTAAGTATGCTAAAGAGAAGTCTGGTGTCATTAATATGGAGCACACTTTATACAGTTTTTAGTTTGTTTTGTTTTGTTTTTCATTTAAACCCATTAGCAATCAGGTTATAAAAATAACCAGTTGCTGAAATACAAGGTCTAAATGGTGAACTTCATAAATTCTGAAATGAAGCTTTACAAGTAGAAGAAAAAAAAAAACCTACTAATTTTGAATGTTCATATATTCTCCTGTAAGCCCACTAATTAACACTTTTTCATATCCTTAATGTAGGCATCTTCTAAAATAATTTTATATTATTACAATAATGATGTTTTAAATGGTTTCACTGTAACATTTTCAGCAAACACTTTTACTAGGTTTTGCATAGTAACATTAAGAGGTGAAAGACACATGCAAATACTAAATTCAGATTTTATCTTACTTAATAGCTGCTGAAATTCTACATTTTTCATCTACCTTATTATGCAAATACAATCGATTTTAATATGCAGAAAAATTGCATAGTTATAGATCTAATTCCGTGCTCAGAAACTTAAATCTGTATGCATACATTATTGAAGGAGAGAATCAGATTTTCCTCTTTCCTCAATGTCAAGAATATACCTGACTAACCACAACCTTCTGAAAAAAATAAACACCTTATAAGATAGGTGCTGTGACTAGACACTGAGATGGCCAGAGAATAGATGTTCTTTTCCTATGAGGGAATATTTAAAGGTCAAAATGAACATTCAAATTATAGAAATACTTATACTAATACATATTATATATATGGTTGGACTTGACGATCCCATGGGTCTTTTCCAACCTGAATGATTCTATGATTCTAAATGTGAAAAACAGAGTGATCAGGCTAAACAGAACAGGGATAATAAGATTTATAGACAACTCTCCACCCTAACGGGTCCTTGCACAGAGGCCCTTACTTCCAGTCTTGATTTCAGTCATGTCATGAGTTGCAGCGTACTGTGCCTCATGACCTCTGATCAGTACAGTGGTTCTATTAGCATTGAGTCTAATGTCTTGGTTTGCTCTTTCCCTTTAGCAGCTTAAGGTGCTGCAGAAGTTATATTTTTCCAAATTCAGGCTGTGTAAGTTTACTCAGTCTTCTATCTATCTATCTATCTATCTCTATACATTTTACACAATTCTCTCTCCACTCAAGCTGCTGTGCTAGAAAGGAGCATTATTCGCTGTCCCAGACTTTTGTACAGTCTTCTACACAACTCTCCTTGCAAAAAAAAAAAGGGCACTCTTTTTAATAAACCTAAAAAATTTTCTGTAAATAAACCTAAGATATAATCTATGAATGATAAAAATTACATACTGTCCATCACCAGTGACCTCAACAATGAAGACAACTTAACACTGCCATTCCCCTGAATCTTTTGAAGACTATTTTTAACAAAGATCATTTCAGTGATCTGGTTTCCACAATGACCCCACAGGCAGCTATACCCCATAACAAAAGGAACACTAAACAGCCTTATCAGAGAATATTACTCATATACATATATAACCGGCATTACCCACGTACACAAATAACCTGCACAACCACAGTAACGAATTTTGTACAATAAGGTTACAAACCTTAAAATACAGCTTTTACAATAAAAACAAATTAATGTGTCGTGGGATAGTTTGAGACTTTGATTTACCTCCTTGGAGCTTTATAACATTCAAAGAACTTTTCACTAGGTAGTTGCATGTCTCACAATACCAACTTTGTTTCTTAGCAACATAAGTCATCTCTACAAGGTAAAATGGTTTTGGCTAACAGAATCCTATTCTGAAGGATATTGAAAAAAATACATAGATTCACTACATTCTGGCATATGGTGTAGCAGTATTTGATAAGAGATATAAATTTTTTTTTTTTTTTAATTACGAACAGTTAATCATTGTAAATGCCATCACATTTTTACATCATATTTTTACCTGATAAAACATTACTAAAATTGTGTAAAATGCATCCTACTACTTTGAGCAGCAACTGGCAAGCAGTTTGGTATGTACTGAAAACACTGTACCAAAAAAAACCCAAAAAAAACCCCAGCAAACAACAAAACAATGGCTCTTGAAGAAATATCTACACCTTAAAATTTTTTCCCTTTCCTAAGCCCCCAGTTACTGGGCTGATTTTGTCACCATTATAGTCAAACCAGACTGTTCTTGAAATTTTAAAGACCAAATTTTCCTTACATGTGTAACTTCCTGGACTTCAGCATGCAAAGACAATTAAGCAATGAAATAATGAAAAAATAGCTCATTTCTTAGCTGGACTCTTCATCTTGGAATAGAATGAATGAATTTGTAAACATGAAGCTCATCCAAGATTTTACCCTTTATTTCCCCAAGTGAATTAGCATTCTAATACAACACTAGCAGAGAAACTGAGAACTCAAATATGTTCTCTGTTTACCTGAACGTAATAATATACAGATTATGTTAATCTTCACATTTTATTTCTTGCCAAAGGTAAAGTAGGATAGGACTGGTCTCTAGGATACTGCATAGAAAGAGAAAATGCACAGAGACAACAGGAGCAGTACTGCCAATACCCATATGGTTTTATGAGCCTTTAACTACCTCCCATAGCAGCCGGTATACAATTTTACAACAGATCATTCATAAACCCCTTATAGTTATGTTTCACTTCAGTCAGTTTCTCAGAGCAGCTACCGAATGTCATTAAATTTCAATAGCAGGTAAGCATTTTTCCATCCACTGGTGAAACTGTTTACTGATTCCAGTTTCTTTAGTTTACGATTTTATGAGCAATTTAACATATGATCATAGTACAGAGATTGAGAAGATATTAATTCATTATTGCCTAAAGAAAAAAAAAAAAAAAGTTTTTTTTTCCTACTAATTTTGGAATTCCATTATGTGATTTTGCAACTGTTCCGCATTATCTCATTGTTACTGGCTCTAGAGGAGGACTGAAAAGTCTAGACAGCTTGTTTTGTGGCTTTTTTGGGTTTGGTTTGTTTTTTTTCTCCTTGTCCCTAACTAAATAAAAATAAAATTTAGAAGACTCTTTTAGAAATTTTAGTCATTCTTCCATTAAATGGTTGTGGAAGCATTTAGACGTTTCAAGAACAAAAAAGCAATAAATATAACAACCCAGACTCAGTTCATCCTCCAATTCT